AGGTCAGTTTTACCCTTATTCTTCCTTTTCCCTAGATGTCATCATTTCCACTTGAAACACTTCAATATAACCTTACATTTTAACTAATCACTGTTAGAAGGTGAGTTTTTGTGTTTTCCATTTTGTCTCTTTTTATTTTGAATACCTATGTCAGTAAAAGAGGAAATTTATGAAAAGAAGGACATGAAAATTTAAGATTTTTTAGTTCTCGGGAATTTCTGGAACATAAATACAGTTCTCCTCCTACTGAAGGAGGAGGTAGAGCTGGCAGTCAGCTTTACAAACATTAATTAAGCACAGGAATGGGCTAGGTGCTGGGGATGCTGCAATGTATAAAACAAAGACCCGTTTTCTAGAATGGATGATAAAATGCAGAAAAGGATTGGTCAATGTTCACAGGGTATCATGGGAAACAGAAGATAAGGCCATTCAGATCATATGAGATTTTCAAGAAAGCCTTCCAGGAAGGGAGGGCATCTAAGCAAATGCAAACATGCTGCATATGATTTGTTACTCTGTGAGTAACAATTGGCAGCAGTCAATTCTGTGTCTTTAAAAAATTACTTCTTCATTATGCTCATCTTTGAACTGAATGAAGTATACTAGGAAAGGTCAAGATTTATTTTTCTTTACACTTTAAGAAGTGTGTGTAGGCAGGGAATATGGCTTAATAGTGGAGTGCTTGCCTAGCATGCATGAAGCCCTGGGTTCAATTCCCCAGTACCATATCAACAGAAAAAGCCAAAAGTGGCAGTTTGGCTCAAGTAAAGTGCTAGCCTTGAGCAAAAGAAACTTAGGAACAGTGCCCAGGTCCTAAGTTCAAGTCCCAGGACTGGCAAAAAAAGAAGTGTGCGTGTTTATGTACATATGTGTTTGTATATGTTAGTGTCAAGGACAAAGATATGATCTGAGAATTCACAGTCTCATTCCAATGGATTAATGTAAACATCAGCCTTCAAGTGCAGAGTTCTATTCTGACAGTCATCTGACTCTTGAAGAGGAATGAGGAAGGGAAGCAAAACTCTTTTTTAAAAAAATCTATAAAGGAAATATAAGAAAAATAATAACTACTATTCAACAACTGCTATAAATACTAAAGAGCAACTGAATAGCAACTGCTATTCAGAGCTCAATGACATGCCATCTATATTCCATATTTAATAACAATAATAGCTTCAGCCAAGGTTTATATAGCACCTACAATGTAAAGTAATCATTTAATCCTCAAAATAGCCTCTGAAGTAAATATCACTATGCCTTCCTTTTTCACAGAGGTATGAATAAGACATAGAGAGGCAAACAATTACTCTCTCCTTGACTCCATTTTTTTCAACCTTCACTGGTAAGGATTGGGACCAGACATTTTAAAAAGGCAAATAACTATACTGTAAATAGAGACTGGAATCTAATTTTTTAGTAAACTCAGAAAACGGCTTAGATTCTTCATTAACTTAAGTGAATTAACACATGATATTATGTCATCACAGAATCATGAATGTAAGTGGTGAATCTGTGAGACTGAAAGGCAGAATAGCAAACGTAAGCATGTCCTCCAAATGGCAAGCTTGCCAACAGAGGAATGCATCTTCTCCATAACGGAGAGAAGAGCATCAAATGTAAAGTGTAATCCACAACTACCTCACATAAAGCAACAAAAGTAGCCAGTGGTAAAAAGCTTTTGAAATAAACTTGTGTCTGCTGAACAGTGAAAAAATATTATTTCCCAAACCTTAAGAGCACTTTATATATAGGTATGCCCAGCATTTATACTATATTTTAATTATCTAGTCATGTAGTAGATTGCTCTTAGGACTACAAGACCTTGATGCTAGGGTCTTATTGCTCCTGGGACTTAACAGTTATCCCTGAATCTAATAAAAGAAAGGCTTATTGAACAAACAAATAAATTATTTGATAGGTGACTTTTAATAAAATCTAAAGATTAGAAAGCTTTCCAGGACAATTTAAAAACCTCAAATTGGAAAAGCTTGTTATTTATGAACAGGTTCTAACCTCCCTTTTCTGGCATTTACAGCCTTCCTACGCCAGCCTCAGTTTACCATAAGACCTTCTCTTCTACTTTGTCCTCTTACTTAAGTCCTGCATAGAATTCCTCTTTCTAGAAGTGGCACTGTGGCTCAAGCAGTAGAGTGCTCACCTTGAGCTGAAGAGCTGGGGGATAGTGCCCAGGCCCAGAGTTCAAGCCCCATGACCAACAAAAAAAAATCCTCTTTCTGGCACAAGCTCTATGCTGTCTCACATCTGTGTTTTAACTCAGTAATCCTACAAAATTTTAAACTTCTCTCATCATAAAGTATTTGAGCACACTTATTTAATACTATTCTAATACTTTGTTTACTAAGAAATCATAAAAATAGAAGAAAGTATATATACTTAGTAAACAAGACAAATTTTCATTACTTGTGTGTATTCTACATTGAAAAATTAAAGGGACAAATTGCTCATAGAATTTTGTAAGAATTAAGTGAAACAAAACAGTTCTGGGCACACAGAAAACCCTGCAAACACCAGCTAGCTCCATTACCATTCTTATCACCAACTTAGCTTCTTTGACTGGAAGCAGATCCACATGCCTACCTTCCAGCTTCATTTCTACTGCTTTAAAGCCAAACTCAAGTGTTATTTATTCAAAGAATTATTTGAATTCATGTTTTAAGGAATTAGAATTTTTCGCTATAAGAGGTACTAAGTCAAAAGTTTTAACAAGAAGTCTTGCCCGAATAAAGCTTAAACAGTTGGGAAAAACAATCAAGAATGGGTTTACATAAAATGATTAAAAAAAAAAAAAGGGCAAAGATGCAAGTATTAAAGCCAAGAAAAATAAAACACAGGGAAATAAAGCCCTAAGAGATTAATATGCCTGTATAATAATGTTTACAGCAACAGACTAACACAAATACTAAGAAAAGGTTGTGATACAGTTCTGTGGCAGCATTGTAACAGCCCATAAGCTCTCAATTTTTTTATACTTTTTATCAACATCAAGTTGTACAAGGGGTGACTTATTTTTCCTTTCCTGGGGCTTGGACTCAGGATTTGGGCACTGCTCCTGAGATTTTTTTGCTCAGAGTTAGTGCTCTACCATTTGAGCCAGAGCTCCATTTCCAGCTTTTTGGTAGCTAACTGGAGATAAGTGTCTCACAGACTTTCTTGTCTGGAATGGCTTCAAACCTCAATCCTTATAGCTCAGCCTCCCATAACTAGGATTACAGGCATGAGTCACTGGCACCCAACGAAGGGTGACATTTTGACACTTCCACATACATGTGCAATGTACCTTGTGTAGACTCAGTCCCCTTCAGCATTCTCCCTTATCCCCCCTTCCTCACTTCCCAAGTCAATCTCAACAAGTTTCACCGTTCCTTTTTTTTTTTTTTTTGGTTGGCCGTGGGGCTTGAACTCAGGGCTTGGGTGCTGTCCCTCAGCTCTTTAGCTCACGGTTAGTGCTCTACCACTTGAGCCACAGCGCTACTTCCAGTTTTCTGTTGGTTTACTGGAGATAAGAGTCTCACAGACTTTCCTGTCCGGGCTAGCTTTGAGCCGTGATCTTCAGATCTCTGCCTCCTGAGTAGCTAGGATTATACTGGCACCTGGCTCCACTGTTCCATTTTTTACATATATACATAAAGCATTTGGACCACCACATTAACCAGACTCCCAAACCTAGCTTAGTGACTGGGATAAGAACTTGCTAACTCTTTTTAATTTTATTTTATTGTTAAGGTGCTGTACAGTTACACGAGTACGGCAATGAGTACATTACTTGATCATTGCTACCCCTTCCCTTCCTTGTTGCTGTCTCACTATCCCTTCCCCACCACCCCCACCACCTGAAGTTGCAAAGTTTGTTTTCAACATCCTGTCCTGTGCAATGGTTCATCCTGGGTCCTTGTTTCAGATTAGACATATGTATATACAATACAAAATGCAGAGTTACAAAATCAAGTACATTGAGAACAGGGGATATGCCATAGGGGAAAGAACGTACAAAGGAAACAACAACAACAAAAAAATAAAATTACATGGTACATTTAAAACAATAACAATAAAGACAGACCTGTTGTGTCTACATCTTGGGTTTCATTTCACTTAGCATCATCTTATATGATCATTTGTACATGGTTTTTGAGCTTTTTGGCTCATCTGATATTATCCTATATGTTTACTGATTATTGCAAATAAGGGAAATTATGGGACCTAAATTTCTTTGGGACTGGGTAACTTCACTTAATATGATTTTTTCCAAATCTTTCCATTTCCTAACAAATGGGGCAGTGTCATTCTTTCTGATGGAGGCATAGAATTCCGTTATATTTACATATACCACATTTTCTTGATCCACTCATCTACTAAGGGGCATCTGAGTTGGTTCCATATCTTAGCTATGGTGAATATTCTTGCTAACTTTTTGACTACTGGCCTCTAACTGTGATCCTTCTGGTCTCTGATCTTTCCTCCTGAGTAGCTGGAATTACAGGTGTGAGCCACTGTGTCCAGCCAGGAATTTTAATTTAAAGCTTGTGGACAAGAAAGGGCACAGTGGCACTTCTGTAATCGCTGCACTATGAGGTTGTGGTAGAAAGATGGAGTTTAAAGACATCATGAGCTATAGAGTGAGATCTTGTCTCTAATCAATATAAATCAAACAAAACAGATAAATACTAGAATAGATAAAATATTTCATAGTAATAATTTATGAGAAATGAAATTGGGAAGGTAGAGCCTTAAGTATTATTTAATTTTAAAACACTCATATACATGTTATATTGATAACACATTTTTACAGTAATAGCAATTTTATTTCATTTTGAAGTTAGATTTTGAAGATTATCCTAAAAGTGGTCCTGAGTTTATTTGCTTTAAGGTCTAATCACTTGATCTTTGAAGTGATAAACTATGCATGTGCTGTTAGCTATACAGAATTGAGTTTCACACCAGTATGAACATCAAAAGAGATTTCAGGAGGCTTTAAGTCTTACCTGTAACACAGCAGCAAATAAGTACACAGCCACAAAAATTGCTGTCAGAGAAGTATGGCCACTTTTCATCAAATGGATCGTGTAGAGGAAGATCAAGTGGCCAGGAATCACCAAACCCAACAGAACTTGGGCAGACTTATTATTTACACCTAAAGCAAAAGGTAAAAGTCATTAACATAAAATTATATTTGGGTTACTAATAAGTCATTATTAAAATTTGAATAGTATTTTTAGATATAGTATCTCATAGCATCAGAAAAATAGTTCAATTGCTAAAAATGTCAATTACTTACAATTCTCTTAATTCTTTGATATTCCCACTTGGTGTTATCAGTGAGTAAATGAAAAGTGGTTGATAAAAATTTGCTATGAAGGCCATCTGCCAAACTTTAATATCTACCATAGAATCAGGGAAGAAAAGAAAACACAGGGCCCTTCAAGCATGGGAATGTTTAATTTTATGTTTTCCTTTAGAGTTCTATTACCCATATTACATGGGTGGTAATTTCTGATTTTCATTCAAAAGTCAATAATCAAGTGGTAGAGCACTTGCCTAGCAAGCATAAAGCCCTGAATTCAATCCCTAGTACCACCAAAAAGAAAAAAAAAACCAGAAAACTGTAAAAGCTAATAATCCTATTTATTTTCGTTAGAACAAAATGACAAGTCTTGTGAAGCTTAAACTTTTATAGAAAAGCAGAACAGGTACTACTGTTTCTGTCTTTTTTCTTTATAACAAATGAAGAAACATGGACTTGGGAAGAACAGATAACTTTTTTGAGGGTGCTGAGCAGAGGTCAGAACAAGCATCCAGTTCCTCTGATGTGAAGCGTGACTTTCTACCCCTCATAAAGCATCAAAACAAACTTACCAAGCAACAAAGCCAAGTGTTTAGTTTATCTAAACACATTTATTTCTACATTTATTCTGACTAAAGCTTGTGATGACAAAATTTATTTGGTAAATAGAAATCTTGCTTAGAAATGTTTTGAGTGGCCCTAAATGATTCACAAAAACATTAATCTCAAATGAGGAAACTGGGAATCAAGAGTTATAATACCTACAAAGTATAAGTTAGAAGGGGAGGGAGAAGAGGAATGAGGTTAGTATAACAACTGCAGAAATGATACAGATGACTGTGATCACTAAGATTAGCTCTCAGAAACAGGAAAGCTACACAACATTCACAAGCAAAATATATATTCAACAAATGTTGTCTGCCCCAAATCTCAGAGAGAAATCCACAAGCACATACCTGGGCCAAAAAAAGTCCTAAATGGGTAGTAACAACCTTTGGGTTCCTCAGGCAATTCTCCTGGGATGCTATGTAAGTGGAGGTAGGTAGAAATCCTGCTGGCCTGTATGGCCACCAAATTACCACCAATACCTGAAACATCAGGAAAACAAACAGCAGAGTTATCCTCACACTTTAAACAACAAAAGCAGCTCTCTTTGGGTCATATTTCCTGGCCAAGAAAACAAAACAAAGAGCTCTTCTGAAATTCAGGTTTGTTTATACTGTTGAGGTAAGCCAAAAGAATAAAAGAGTCACTGATTAGTTTTTCAAATCCATGAAAGTAGATCAGAGAAGACAATTTTTAAAAATCATTACCACTATTCAATATATAAAGCTAGGTAAAAATGTTGATCACTTAGTGAGAGGGGAAGGGAAACTCGATTTATTCAAATAAATGAGAGGGGAAGGGAAGCTAGATTTATTCAAATAGACAAGATTTGATATTTTTTTCTTTCCAGCTAAAGAAACTGATATAAAGTGCTGAAAATAATTATTCAAGAGGATCTGAGTTTTGAAGCTACCCTCAGCTACATAGGACTCTTTCAAAAGGAAAAAGAGAAGAAAACAAAAAGAAGGATGGGAAATAGGGGAAAGAGAGGAAGGAAGGAAGGAAGGAAGGAAGGAAGGAAGGAAGGAAGGAAGGAAGGAAGGAAGGAAGGAAGGAAGGAAGGAGGAAAGGAAGGAAGGAGGAAAGGAAGGAAGGAAGGAAGGAAGGAAGGAAGGAAGGAAGGAAGGAAGGAAGGAAGGAAAGGAAAGGAAGGTGGAAAGGAGGCAGGGAGGGAGGGAGTTTGTCAAGAAAGTCACCTTTTTAACTAGATTATCCTCTCATTAACTGAGGCAAATTGATGTCAAAATGGAAAATAAATTCTAAAGGACAGAATGCCCCTCTCCAAGGCAAGGCAGAACACCCACATTATTTCCACTGCAGAGTATGGAGGAAGAGAAAGCAAGTAGGAAGAAGACATATGCACATTTCAAACTCCAAGATGCTGAGTGTGTACTAGCATAGTATTGTAGAATGGCTGATTGTTCTAGACACAAAGAGGGTCCACATTCATCTTCTAGCTATTTACTATAAGCCCTTACACCAGGTGCTTTTGAGGCAGACTGAGTCTGGGCAGGAAGCCAAGCTCATTGGTACACAGGTAAGAAATCACATCAATCTCCAATATGGACATTTATTAGACAAATCCTTTCTCATGTACAGAAAAAGCTACCTGGGGAGATGGAGAAAACACTCCAGCTACCTGGTCCCAGGCAAAGACTGGTTTCACTGGAGAAATAATGTAGACTAAAATCTTCTTGCTCAAGAGAAATTGGTAGTTTGGTTGCCAGTAGAAGGGCAGGGTGAATGGAAATCCTACCTCTGGAAACCAGGTGTACAAGGACTATCCAAAATTGTGGATAGGCAAGAGAATCTCAAACCCCATCCACCCCACATATGGCATTGAGCAAGAAACATTAGCAAGTTACTACTGAAGAAGAGCAAGAATGAAGACAACTAAATCTGCCATGCTGAGCATATATGGCATTCCAGGCTTAACAATCAGAATGGGGTGATGGGAGCCCATCATTTTATCACTTGTGTGCTACCATGAAAGCAAACCATACTAACAACCAGTAGATGAAAAGAGCTTTGTGTTTCCAGGTATAAGCAATATTTATTTCAATCTCCAAGACCTTTTTTTTTTTTTTGGTCATGGGGCCTGAACTCTGGTGTGGGCACTGTCTCTCGGCTCTTCAGCTCAAGGCTAGCGCTCTACCACTTGAGCCATAATGCCACCTCCGGCTTTTTCTGCTTATGTGGTGCTGAGGAATCGAACTCAGGGCCTCATGCATGCAAGGCAAGCACTCTACCACTGAGTCACCTTCCCAGCCCTCCAAGATCTTTTATATACTATGCCAAACAAGCATTTAGCAGCAATTTACATTACAGTAAAAAAAAAGAAAAAGAAGAAAGAAAGAAAACAGATCATTGTAGGAGTTAAGAAGTCAGAAGAACCAAATACAGCAATGACTTATGTTAAAAATATTTTACAGGGGCTGGGAAGGTGGCTCAGTGGTAGAGCACTTGCCTTGCATGCATGAGGCCCTGGGTTTGATTCCTCAGCACCACAAAAGCAAGAAGAAAAAAGCCGGAAGTGGCGCTGTGGCTCATGTGGTACAGCGCTAGCCTTGGAGCGCTAGCTGAAGAGCTGAGGGACAGGGCCCAGGCCCAGAGTTCAGGCCCCACGACCGGACCAAAAAAAAAATTTTTTTTACAGAGAGATGTGGAAAGGAGTAGAACATACATTAAAATAGGAAGAAATGGGGGTAGGCACGGTGGTATGTTCCTGTTTTTTATCCAAGCTTCTTGAAAGGCAGAGATCAGAAGATCATGGCTCAAGGCCAACCTATATAAAAAGTTAGCAAAGTCCCATCTCAACACACAAGCTGATTACAAAGGTTCATGCCCAGAGTTCAAACCCTAGTACCACCAGTAACAATAATGATCATCATCATTTGAGGACCATTAGTGAAGTCAAAATATGAAAAAAGAAAAATCATGCCAATGCTAATGAAAAGAAAGCTAAAGTAGCTATAATATATTGGAGGCTGTGGAAGCATTGAAATAGAAAGTATTACTAAGAATAAAGATGGATAATGAATAATGTTTAACAAAGCCAGTTCATAAAAAAGGCCTAATAATACTAAATGTAGATGCACTTAAAAGTAAGCCTTCAACATACATAAAACTGATAAACCTACAAGGACAAAAATATAAAAATAAAGCCACCCACGTCTGTGCTTATACTTAAAAAATTTGACCAAACTAAAAAGTCAACAACTAAATGGGCTTTAAAAATACCACCAGCCAGCCAGGTGCTGGTAGCTCACGTCTGTAATCCTAGCTATTCAGGAGGCTGAGATCCAAGGGTCACGGTTCAAAGCCAGCCTGGGCAGGAAAGGCGTGAGACTCTTATCTCCAATAAACCATTAGAAAACCAGAAGTGGTGCTGTGGCTCACATGGTAGAGCACTCGCCTTGAGCTGAAGAGCGCAGGGACAGTGCCCAAGCCCCGAGTTCAAAACCCCACAACCGACAAAAAAAAAAACAACACCAGCCAACATGATGATATATGAGAATATTCACTCAATAATAGCAAAACACATTAGTTACAAATGTAAATGTGTAACAGTCATGAGAACAGGAATGATCACAAACCACTGTATAGGCTTAAAGCAAGGCTCCACAAATTTGAAATGAGTAAAATATGCAAATATGATATCATAGAAATGCTAGACATCTGAGAATTTCCTCTAATATCTGGAAAATATATAATATACTTTCTAATGACTTACAGATCAAATAAGAAATTACAGGAGGATATACAGTCAATTTATTGGAAATGAAAACACACTAAGGTATGGTGATGTAAAATATACAGTCCTTCTAAGATCACAGAATCAAATACTTATATTACCTGCATACTTATTACATGCAGTTTTCACCAAACATGGTCAATAAATATAAGCAAAAGGAAATTTCAAAAGCAAAAATGTAAAATTCCTGTGTGTATTATGTGGTTCAGTTGGGCCAGACAAGTTCCCAGTCAGTCCTGTATTATGGTCTGTTGTGTCTAAATTATTGTGTAATCTCCTGAGTATTTCCTGGTTTGAATTTTGTTAAAATGCAACATAACTTCCAAAAGCAAATGGTGCCAAAAAACCATAGTAAAAATTAATGTGCTTAATTTCAGAGATAAAGTGAAAATTATACATCTGTTGGAAAGCAATACTCTGTAGAAATTGGGTGACATGTTGGAAAAATGAATCAAGCATGAGCAGTACAGCACTGAACTCTATGCCTGCTAAGTATGTGCTGTTTGTCCTTAGCTGTAGTCTCCTTGAAATCAGATGCGGGCAGATACCAATGGACCAGTATTTGAAAAGAAAAGTCTTTTACCTACATACAGCTCATGGGAACAAATTAAATTAAAAGAAAGCAAAAATAACAATAAGTGTCAAAGCACAAATAAATGAAATAGAAAAGAAAAACAATGGAGAAAATAAAGGAAACCAGAGCCTGTTCTTTGACTAAAGCAAAAAGATAGAAGACACAAATTCCATCATCATGAAAAAAGAGAAGAGCTGGCTCACACTTGTAATCCTAGCTACTCAGGAGGCTAAGATCTAAGGATCACGGTTTGAAGCCAGCTCAGGCAGCAAAATCCATGAGACTCTTATCTCCAATTAAGCACCCCCAAAAAATCTGGAAGCAGAGCTGTAGTTCAAGTGGTAGAGAGCTAGCCTTGAGTAAAAAAGCTCAGGAACAGCTCCCAGGCCCAGAGTTCAAGACCCATGACTGCTTTTCCCACAAAAAAAAGAATGTAAGAGATGTCACCACTGTAGACCATCCAGGTCTTAGGAGAGCATATATCAATGTCATAAATACACTTCTAGAAAATTAAATCTAACAAAACATTAATACTATAACACATCACAACCAAATTGGATTTATCCTACAAATGCAATGCTAATTTAATACTTGGAAATATATTAGTAATTCAGTACATTAACAATTCAGTACATTAACAAAGAAAGGGAGAAAAAATAACATGATTGTATAAAGGGAAAAATGATCATTTGACATTTATGATTAAAAACTCTCAGAGGAATCAAGAGGATCTTGAGGTTTGGGCTCATTAAGGGAATGCAAATGTCTCTTCAAGAAACTGATTTCATTTCCTTTGAATATGCACCCAGTAGTGAGATTGTTGGTGGTCATTTTGTTTTTTATCTTTTTAGGAATCTCTATAGCATTTTCTATAATGGCTATAATAACTTACATCACCACTAATGGTGTGCAAAAATTCCTTTTCCCCACTCCCTCTCCAGTACTTAGCCCACATCTTTTTGATAACTGTCATGCTTGCTGAAGTAAAATGTTCTCTCATAATAGTTTTGATTTCCATTTCACTGGTGATTAGTGGTGCTGATGGCAACTTTGGGGTCTTTTAGAACTGTTTAAGTTTATTGCTAGAACTGGAAATTTGAAAATAAATTCATGCAGGATTTTACTCATTTTACATTAGAAATAAGGTTATGCAT